GAATGGAGAGAGAGGATGATGCTTTTTGATTTTTCCTTTGGTATCGCGAGAGACCAAGCGGCAGACTTGCATTAGTCCCTCCACAAAAATTTCCCCCTACCGATCTCGCCGTGTATTCGTCTCTCCGTGTGTATGATAACACGAGGTATCTGCACTAGCCTCTGTGTGGGTTCCATTAAAGGCCTCATTTGCAGTGTCTTCCTGTGTGCGTCTAGGAGTGACAAAGAGTCCATGGCAAAAATCTTTTAAAAGTTAGATTCAAAAGTACCTTCTGAAATTAAATATATGCAAGGAGATTATTATTAAGTTCGAATTTCGCTAATAAGCTAATGTAGAAAAATGGAAATTAGCTCTCAGTAACCGTGACGCTGTCGCTGCTTAAGTATAAGTGAAACCTTTATTAATTGATTTAATTGAAAAAATCAGTTATTCTGAGAAGCTATCAGATTCGGGTTCTCTCATATTGTGGATTGTTACTAAGACAAATTTGGGTCGATAATAAAATGCAATTCTTCTATTAATTCAGGGGTCAGAGCAAATATTACTGAAAATGCCAAATGCCGTTGGTATTTAGTGCATATATTTTTATTATTGCAGCAAATATTCAGATCATTTCATGAATCCCTAAAATAATGAAAACTTGTTATCAAAAGAAGAAAAACTACTGATCGAGTAAAATTTTTTAATTGACACTCCAGTGACTTAACAGTAATTTGAAAAAAGGGATTATGTAGTATTATGATATTATGTTTTTGTCTGTCGATTGCACTTTTCTCTACGACATGGGCCTAGGGCCAAACTGACAGCGTCTTACCTCTTCTGACCATTAAGAATACTTAATCTTCCACAATACTTTTGCGTATTACTGTAATACGATGGCGGTTTACCCCTCGGTATTCGTGAGGCGTCACTTTTGTACTTTTGAATTCGCGCCCTTGTACCTCGCTGGGTGGGCTGGCCTTGTCATGCCAGTAGCCCAAACACCTTCGCTGTGCCAAATACATATATTCTGCCCTAGTATCTTGTCTTCTTTCGTCTTCAGAGAAGTCTTGGGACGCTACATTGGTGATAGCGGGAAGCGAACCTGATCTCAAAAGTTATGTATCCTGTTTTTCACTTCTGCGTGATAAACCTCAGAGGAGCGGAAGAAGTACGTGCTACGGATGGGAGAATGGTGATGACCCCTCATAGAAGGACTTAAGTTGACGTATACTTTTGGCATCTATCCCAGTCCCGTGTCCTGCAGGAAAGCTATTATCAACTGAGGTGACACTAGCCGTGAACCGTCTGGAAGTTTCGTTACAGACTTCACCTACCCTCTAAAGTGAGAATGACGTGGCAAAGAAGAACAGACGCGAAAACCCCCTCCCCATGGATCTGCCAGTGTTCCTACATCTATCTATGGACAGGCATAATGGTCAGCACAATCGCCTGTCACCGAACCCATTTCCTAAACCGGACGAAACTCCAGATCCAGTTAAGCTGCTAAGGGGGATCAGTGACGGTGAGGTCAAGTAGCTCCTCAGTTGGACGCTAAACTGGTGACTGGCACGGTCGGACCGCGGGTGTTTCTTTACAGCACCGACAACTTTGTAATGGCTGGTGCGGGAGGTTGACCTCCGGGAGTGCCGGGGACGACGCTCAGAAGAGGATGGAGACTATGTAATACGGTGGTAGTTTATTTCTCTGTATTGGTGAGGCGCCACTTTTGAACTTTTGAATCAGCCCTCTTGTACCGCACTGGGTGGGCTACCCTTCGGGCCATGCCAGCAGTACAAACACCTTCTCTGTGCTAAATATGTATATTCTGTCCGAGTATTGTATCTTCTCTCGTCTTCAGGGAAGTCTTGGGACGCTACATTGCGGCCTTAGCAGGATTTCGAGGCGCTACGATGAGGAATTCGATAAACAGACCTTACTAAAGTAGTAAAACATTTGGGCGATTGTCAACAGACACACACTTTGCCCAAATTGATGGGATAGGAGAAGAGTGAATTAGGTCTGTTCAAGAACTTCTAAGATGATACACATTGTCATGACAAGACCGTCTTTTAAAATATTTACAATCTTCAACCCTTTGAATAGGAGCTCGTTCAATGACTCACTTAGTAGCTTTGCAAAATAAATTTCGCTTTACATGTTTTGCTGTTAAATTACGGCAAATGACCACCGATTATTAGAGATGAACAGTGATTTATTTATTTAATTATATAACCTTGCTGACTTTAAATTGACAACTACATCAAATGAAATAAATAGACGTTATTTTGATTTTGCTCATGCAGTTTTCCGGGTTACTGATATTCCTGCTTTTATCGTACAGAACAAGTATGGGTAACTCCGAAATACTGTAGCAAATTTTAAGCACTTGATTGTTATGAGTGCAGCAATATCGAAAGCAATCGTGATTCTTGCATTACTGTTAGACGTACCTGCCATGTTTCCCAGGACGCCTGCATTTCTTTCGTTCAGCACACAAGTACTAATATTTTCGCGTTTAAATGAGAAAATAGCGCCTCCATTTTGGACCGTACTTTCTGAGAGACGGCCTTTTGTATCAAAGGGTTGCACAACAAGAATGGATTGTGAAAATCAAAAACAATTCCTTCGAAACCGTTGTTTTGTCAGCAGCTTGCGGGATTGGACTTGTGCGGAGTGTTGTTACACCGATAATTGCAACTATCTTGTTGAGGTTAGCTTATGTGCATTCCAAATCTTAAGTCCAATTTTTTATTTAGAATCGATCTTCGCGATTGTCAGTGCAGCGCCGAAACCTACCTTTATTACTATTATTTTCTATTTTGTGCAAGTAAATGTTTATGCAGATCTCTGCGCCTGACCTTGCTTATTTTATGAGCATGCATTAGGAGCCAACTTCAATGCTTCAACACTTCATCCTCTGAAGGAGCCGATCATTCCCCACACGGTTGTACCCGATCCCCCAGAGGAACCGCCTCTTTCGCTCTTAATTTTGAATCCAACCACTTTGGTAAACGAGCATGTCTCTCGGGGACACTAGCGGTGCCCAAAACAATAAGTGGTTAGTCTTGTACTGCCTGGCATTGCAACTGGAATGTCAAAGATACTAGCAAATTCTGCGAGATACTATTCTTCGACGTAGTAAAAAACCCCGCGCTAGGTCAGTAACTGTTAGCTTTTTAATTCTGGATCGCCCCTGCGCATCGAATCGCCACGATTAGTAGCAACCATGAAATTAGCTACATCCACTGTGAGACCTCAGTTTTAATAGGCTGCGATGAGTTCGAAAATATCCTATCGGTTTCTCAATAACCATACAAGCGGGTAGTCATTCTAATCCTGAGAACCTAGCCATCGTACGAAAGCTCAAAACAAACGCGTAGAGGGAGCACCATAGTGGACGGGTAGAAGCGTGTCTTGAATTAATGACATCACAATTGAAGTGTTGGTCGTCATCCTGGCCGTGGTAGTGTGGAGGAGTAATGAGAGGACGGGAGGCAGGCAGTCGTGAGCATTACAAAAAGAGGAGACGGAAGGGAGAGAGCTGCGTTGTTCATCGCACAACGTTGCTGGCGGAGGCCGAAGTCTTTCTACGAACGCCCTCCGCATTACCATTTGCCTCACCACCACTCTCCGCGGACTGCTGCTGCTGTGGTGGTGGAGGCGGGAGATGGGGAGGGTGATAGCGGTAATTGAGGCGCTGGTTCGAGGGGATGCGCAAGAAGAAGGGGTGCGACATTGCTGCCGCCAGGCAAATGCGATCCGCCGGATCGTACTCCAACATCTTCGAAATGAGATCGAACATATCAAGGGTGTCCTGATTCTCTTCTTTGCAGTACCGCTAGAAAGAAGGCACAAAGGAAAGCGCACTTGTCACTCCAATCCCGACGTACAGGATGGAAAAATGACATAATTTGCGATGATTCCTTAAGTACGTTACTCTGTCTACTTAAAGTGAACACGAAAAAGGCAGATTACATTCCAATTGCGTACGGAGATCCACATACAAACCGCTGACGGTGAGGCTACTTGAATGGGGTCAGTAGGCATGCACATACCTTGAGAGGTCTGCAGGAGAGAAGGCGTTTTTGCGAATGCGCGGAGAGATGCTGCACAACGCCACTGCGTGGACAAAAGTAGTTCGAGCGCCTGGCATGCAAAACAGGCAAAGAAAATACATGCACAGAACTGGGTGTGACAAGTAGAGGAGAGAGGACATGCGAATAGGGAAGGGTGGGAGTGCGTGGGAGGCACTCACAAGAAGGGGTCGGCAGTTCTCGCGTACGTAGCGCCCCTCGGGGCTGTAGAAGTCCCAATCCAATCGGCCGTGATAGAAGAAACCCGTGCTGGGTAGGCGGGAGTAGAGAGTGAGAACATGTCTATACCTCGCCTTTCCGTACTTTCTATCCCACGATCACACGACTAACAATATTGAGACATTAAAGTTGGGTGGCTCAAAGAATTTTTATCCCAAGAAATAAATAAGTAACCGTTCGAAGGAAAATTCATACACCTTTCCCATCACAGCACGGATTCAAAGCATTTCAAATTGTGGGATGATAAGGGCTTCCGTTTTCGACAATCACATACTTTCGATGTGTAACAAGTAAAACATGATCTAGAACTGAGAAAACCTTTTTAGTAATTCACTTCCCCATGATCCAACCAATATTCCAACAAGAAAACGTTGCTTTATTTCTAAGCAAGGGTTTTTGACGTGGTAGGCTCCGCCTGCCACTCACCGTTTTCCCCAGCCTCTATAATGGCAGATTACCGTGTCATAGAGAAATTTGATCGCACTTTTTCCTTCACTGGAGACTGTCCAGCCCTTTGCCCTCTACAGGTTTCTTCAGCGTCATCAAGCGCATAAAAAAGGCCGTAAAACTATGTAGTGAGTGGTATAAGTGGATATGTCGATCATAGCGGCATGAATATCGGAACTGCAGGAGACACGTACCGTGATTTCCGAGTCATCCGATAGGGGATATGGCCGAGAGTTCGCTCCATCATGGCCAAGTGCTCGCGATTATCGTGAGTCTGCATAAACCACATACACACCTATTAGTACAACATGCTTTCCTGTTAAAATATTACAAAGACTGACAAAACCTTTTCCTTAAGAAGTATTGTTCATAAATAGGCCATTATGGAAGGGTGTAAGGATGAAGTAGGCTTCATTTTCGGCCTTAAACCGTAAAAATAAAGGGATGTGAAATGAGAAGTGGAACTTGCCTGAAAGAGGGTGTAACCGGTGTAGAGCTCGAATATGATACAGCCAATCGACCACACGTCGCAGGGTTGGGACCAGCCGAGCTCTGAACAAATAGCATAAAAGGAGCGTCAGTTGGGAAGGCTAGAGGAAGAGTGACAGGGGTAGCGAGACGCGACAGATTGACGGACCGAGAATGACCTCAGGGGCGCGGTAATGGCGAGTGGAGACGATGGTGGAGTGGTGGTCGTAGTCAAATGTTGCCGAACCGAAGTCGATAAGGCGCACATCAGAGCACTTTACAATACGGTCGTAGCGTCGCTTCTTCCGATTATGAACCGATATATAGTCGGAGCGATTGAAGAGAATATTCTCCGGCTTGAGATCCGTGTGGGTCAGCTGGTTGTCGTGCATGAAGCGCACTGCATGGCATAGTTGGTAGCTAATATGCCGCACGTGCTCTATCGGGTAGCCCACGTAGTTGTTCTCCCTCTGCAAAAAGTCGATTTTGGAAGTAATAAGGGTGAAAAACGGTATAATTAGTCACTTGCATGCAATGGATAGCAAAACACTAACCAAAAAGTCGAATACTGAAAGACCGAGGATATCGAAAGCCAGACAGATATGTCCAAAGTAGTCAAACCAATCGAGTAGTCGAACACAGAGGCTGTGCAGAGAAAAAAAGAGAATGTCCTTTAGCATCAAATTGAAAAACAAGCGCTTGTAGTGATGGCGAGTACTTACTACTCATCGTTGGGATCGCGTTCGCGCAAGAAGTTCAGAACGTTTATTTCCAGCATCGCGGCCTCTCTATACTTATCCACGTTCTTGATTATCTTGAGAGCGATTCGCGTGTCCCTGAAAGTCGAATCAACCAATCAAAATCAAGACAAGTGACAAGATATTCATTAACTATGTGTCACGAGACCTAACGAAGAAGGCCAGAGGTCTTCCCGATTTTTATCCATCCCTTCCATCTACGCGCGTATGTATGTGCCTTAGGGCAGCAGACAAGACGGACGGGGGTAATCACGTGCAAGAAAAGTACAGCAATTTAAGACGGAGGAGAACCACGTGGTTGGTTGATTTCCCGTTCTGCCCAAAGCTTAGAAAAATAGCCACTCCCGCCAATATGAATGAAGACCTATTGGAAGGTTACTCATTTATGTCAAACTCCCTTTATCCCTTAAGCACTTTCTACCACTCAAGGGGTTGATTTATGGAGTACAGGCAGCTTCGGGGCTGTTGCAATTTGCATAATGAAACGGATAATTATGTGGAGATAGTAATAGCTTGAGAAAGACTACTTTGCAAAAGCAATCATCTGATTGTTCATGTTTGCAGTCTAGCAGTGACTGAACAGGGCAGGTGTGTGTACGTGTGTGACTCCGTGAGCACTTACGTGTGATGATCGAGGCATTCGACGACCTTGCCGAAGGTGCCCTCTCCTAGCGTCTTGATTATCTCATCTGGAGGAAAAAGGTTATATGCAGTGACGATGAAGTGAATTGAGTTACAGTGAATGAACTGTCATAATAGATTGTTAGAATCAGCCGAAAAGGGAAAAACGTGGGGAATATTATCAGACTTAAACGTTTCAACAAAAAGCAAAACTTTCAACGAGCAACTCACATCTATCAAGAATGAATTCATGGGGACTGTAGATAAGATGTCCATCGACATCATCCAGGGGAGGAATTCTCGAGGACACGTCCTCCTCTGGGGGCTGTGAAAAAGGGGAAAAACAACAGGAATAGATATTGCTCAAGACGACAGCTTCGACTCACCGCCACAAAAAACAAAACAGTTGTTCCCGTATTATCGACCTTACCTGACTCGATCCGTCATAACTCTCCACTTCCTGTTGCTGCTGCATGCTGAGCTTACGCTGCTCTATGAACTTCTTCGCTCGCTGGCGTGCCTCAGCCACACGCGAGGAGCCATCAGCTGTTGTTACAGCAGCAGCCCCACCCATTTGAGGCTGCATCTCCGCCCCTACAGCCGCAGCCGCCTCCTCTTTCTTCTGTTGATTCAATGCCATTTGCACTATAGCTGCATTTATCTCCTGTGTTTTCTGCGTGCGTCTCAACTGACGGCGCAGCTTTCGCGATATCTCCACGTCTGACTCTTCTGATTCCTCTTCCTCGTCTTCATCCTCGTCTTCATCCTCTTCCTCCTCAGCATCATCATCACGACGTTCAACTTGCATTGGAGGCGAAAGCTTCAGTGCCTCCTCCACCTTCTTCGGTAGCTCTGCCATCTTCATTGAAGGCAGTTTTGGAAGCCCAAACACCTTTTTTGGTACTTCCACTGCTACCTTTGGTGCGAAAGTCTTTTTCGTGTCAGGAGGCAGCGACCCGTGAACAGAGATGGTGGAGATGCAGGCACGTTCGCAGTAGTCCTCAAAGGTGACCTCCATTGGAGCGGTTTGCACGAGAAGGGATGTATGAACTGGGTAGGGCGGCTCTGCAAGGGTTTCAACAACATCCACAATCTGTCCACTGGCTGGCCACAGGAAACGCTGCTGTGGGCTGCCCCCGCCTGTGAGCGAATGTTGTTGCTGCAACGGTGGACCTAAGCGCATGCGACGCAGCGGAACACCACGGGAGAGGGGCACAAATGAGGGGAGAAATTGTTGAACGGCTATTCGCATCCCACCGCTCTTCTTGTCAGTGGCAAGAGTTCGTTGGCACAAGGGACAGGTGTCCCTGAGGCCCAGTTGCAATGCCTCAGTCTGAATGGCCGCCTCGCGTGTTGCGATGCGTTTTCGTGCTGCCTCAACCAACGCTCTCTTCTCCTTCTCGCCTACCAATTGCAGTCGCAATAGCTGGTAGTCTGACCCTACGTTGGCAAGCATATTTAGGAGGTTGTTAAGCGAGGGCGAGGTGGCACTGGGGGAGGAGGCAGTAGGGTTGCCAGCGGCAAGAAGAAGAAGGCTGCGCTCGTGCTCCTGCTGCTCTGCGGCCACTTTAGCAACAGCGGCCTCCAGTTTTCGAAAGAGCACAGAATTCTCCATATCGGCAATCGAGGTGCCGTTGTTTTGAGCTGGCTGGGGTGCACGGGTACCATTTCGATCGGCAGGAGGTGAGAAGGAGGACTCGCGTGATGCCACCGAGCCTCTACGCGGTCCAACAAGGCTCGACTGCGGTCTGGGTGGTGGTCGAGAGGCACTCATTTCTAAGCATTCGAATCTTGATGGCGGTGGAAAAGGCAAAATCACTGAGGATTCCTCCTGGCGCCTTCTCTTGCTAGGTTCTGATACTGAAAAGGCTTCCGCTTCCGCGTTGTTTGCCTCGAAGTCAGAGACGATTTCGGAGGAGATGGGAGAACTACTTTCGGAGGAGGAAGAGGTTGAGACAATGTAGAGAGGCTCCTCTTCTTGGGAAGCAGAAAAAGCTTCCACGGAATGCGCGAGGGTGGAGTGTGCAAAGGTGGAAGCTGTGTGAAGGGACGGAGTGAGAGAGTGAGCGCAAAAGTGCGGCTGTTTGGAGGACCAGGTCGTGAGCGCGAAGCGTGAAAGCGGAGCTTTCACGCAGACAGCGATTGCCGCCGGGAGCCGCGGTGTCGAAATGCAATGAGGTGGAGCAGGGGGGGAGGAGGAGGAGGCGGACTCCCAATTGCCGGAAGACTGACGCTTCGCAGTGGCGGTAGTGAAGGCCCTCCGAGGTGTCGGAATCGATCGGTAGGCTGGGACAACAGTGGCAGCAGTAGCGGTGGGAGCAGCAGCAGCAGCAGGTGACCACGAGGTGGTGAGGGAGTTGTGCTGGTGGTGCTGGCGGTGATGATTAGCGATGAGGTTGATATTTGACGCAGAGGCCCGAGAACGGAGCCCGTTTGGGCTAGGGGAACTGGCTTTTTGACCCAGTTGTGTGGATGCGAGGCAGCAGCAGAGGCAGCAGAAGAGACGCCGTTTTGTTGTGTGTGCAGCACAGATCCGTGTCTTTACGCGTGTGTGTGTGTGTGCGGGTGTGCACACGCCTACACCCACATCCATACAGTGTGATGTGATATGCGCATGTACGCGTTCGTGCGGAGGTGCGTGTCCACGCGAATGTGAAATGGGCAAATGCTGCTGCCGCCATACATCTCCGACCAATCGATAGCTTGCGTGCTTTATCGATTGCACTGTGTACGCACGGAAAACGAGAATTTTGGATCGGAGGCAAGTGTATGCCTATGCGCTTGGGTGCATGTCTGTACCAATGGATGAAACACGCAGCCACACGCCCATGGGAGGAAGCACACATCCGATTAGAAACAAGACGTTACTACCCTTTTAGAAGCTCCGTCAGCAGTGGTGGATCAAGGTAGCTCTACCAATGAAACCCCCCAACCCGCAAAAAAAACAGAGTAAGCAGAGAGAGGAGAGGGAAAGGGAGGGACGAACCGTGGCCAAAGGAGGTGCCTTGTAGTGTCGTCTTGGAGTGGATGAGCGGGAGCTGGAGAAAGAGGGTGTGGTTCGTGTGCTAGGAGAGGTGGCCGAGTTGTGTACGAAGACGACTGAAGGCAATTTGTCTTGGGGTTTTCTGAAAAGGTAGAGGAGACATGCGGATGAAAATTGGTTGACTGAAGGCGCGCAAAAGACTGATCGGGAGGGACTAACCGACGATAGCCACGATGATAACGACGACTGTGGTGGGATATGGAAGAGGAGGATGGAGAGGAGGCGGAGGAAGAGGGGGAGGAATTGGTGGAGGAGGAAGCGGAAGGCTGATTGCAAAGACGACGACGGCGACGTCGGTTGACATGATCACACACTTTAAATCGGCCATGTTGCGGTGAACCTCTAAGTCGATAAGTTAAAGTGGAGACAACGTGCCGATCTGCCTCCATGGGAGAAGAAGGGTTTTGGAACTAAAAGCAGGAATAAAAGTAATCGGTTATGACGATTCTAAAGAATCGAAAGCTTTCACTTAAAGAATTAAAGTATTTAGAAGCAAAAATATCGTCGAATTATCAAAGTTCTGATAAATAATTCTGTTATGGATCAAAATTATGGCGAATGAATAGTAAGTTGAAAAAAAACAAGAGGCGACACTTAGAGAGGCTGTTAGTGCATCACACTTACACGAGAACGACCAGAGCGATTCCGATGACGACGAGGAAAATGATGACGACGGGGAGCGGAGGAGTTGCGATTGTGGCGACCAATATTGTTAGGAGATGAGGTAGAGGCTGAGGAGGTTCTACGAAGCCTGACCCGAGGTCTATCGACGGTGGAGTGGGGAAGTTGGCCCCGAACCCCACCGACATCACTATTGTCACGTGAGGAGTCCCAACGTCTGTGGGATCTGTAAATGTCTCCGTTGCGCTGATTTCCACTGAAAAATGCACACGCACACAAATGCACAACACGAGGTCATGGTCATTCCAGAATATTCGAGCCTTTATTCTCGTAATACGCATATATAAAATTTTGACCATTGATTCTTAGTTCACTAGAGTCCAAAACCAAAACGTAAGAATTAGGCAGGTAATACACATTAAATGGTCAACAGGAGGCACTTGAGAGATGATTCGATGCCGAAAAAGAAAGGCAAAAAGTTGATCAAAGCATTAAAGGATAGAAGGGTGAAAATAATAAATATGAACGAAGTCTTGATAGAAAGAGGAATCAAAAAAGAGCAGTAATTTAACCACTACTCAAGATGACCAAGATCAAATGCCACGACTTTTTTCGCTAAAAAAAAACGGAAAAAAAATTACTAACAATTCCAAGGGTTAGTTAATCAGTCGTACAAGGGTCAACGGAAAAAAAATTGTCAATATTGGATTAATTAAAAGATGAAATGATGGAAGGACAGGATTTCCAAAGTAGCAGACCGCTTATTCAGCATAAGAAATTAAATTCAAAAGCTCCACGCATTAGCCCGGC